CGAAGCAAGCATCTTTGCCCCATTCTGGTTGCGGATCTCTTTGACCGTATTGTCACTTTGTACCCACAGCCTCAAACTGTAAAAAGAGGACCAGGATTAATTGCACACTACACACTACGCACCATCACCTATGTCCCAGCCAAGTAACTCTTTTGGAAAAGGTTGGTTTTGGGCGCGGGTTCTTGTCCACACACCCTCCAGAGCTCTCATCACCTAAACTTCAACGAACCAACATTAAAATTGAAGTAAACAATTTTCCACAAAAGGCTCGACGTGAATTGGTTGGTGTTGCTTAGATCTTTTCAATCAAGAAACGCACTCCCAGTTCCAACTGCTGCCGGCACTCATCCCCTCCCGAGCAGTTAGAAACATCCAGCATCCATGTCCATGACAAAGAACTGCTGTCAACACCAAGTTCACTCCTTAGATAGAAATGGAATTGAAAGCAAGGGAGGATGTCTCCAATGAAATTCCCAAGGCAGTACAGTTAAAGCTGAGTGTCTTTGGGTGTTTTCGTAAAGTGTCCTTTTCGGACAGCGGTTCATTGGCCACTGTGGTAATTGAAGTTTAGAGCGATCAAAAGAGTCCACAATGACACACAATAGGTCTCCCTGTGTAGCACTTCGGGTTCTAGCTGACCAGTACACCTTTCTGTCCATGTACTGCGAACAATAGTGCTGCAACAACTGGTTGCAAAGTGCGGCGTGTTGGCCAAAGTCCTCAATGGTTGCATGACAAATGACAAACGACATTTGGTTTTCAGTTGTCAGTTGAGCATTCAACTAAGGGCTGTTCGGTTGCTGCATGGATGGAAGCTTTCAGTCGTTGGCAGGTAACACACATGGCGTGTTCACTGGCATGTCGGAACTTCAAACACGATGACCATGATCTAGCCACGGCATAGAACGTGCTCTTGCCACAAGGATCCAAAGAGGTGGTGACCTTGCAGTACGCAAGGTACATAAGGTACAAGGAGGCGACGTTCCCTGGCGGGAGCTCTCTGAGCGGGAGCTTGCATGGGTCTTGCATGTCCATGACCTCCAATGTCGGGCCAGACAACTTCCGATTGATCAGTTTTCTTAAGAGGTCCTCTTGCAAATCCTGGTCATCGAAAGTGGAAGAAGAAGATGAAAACCTGGAGGATCAGTTGAATCATCACTGGATGGCTCGGTTGAAGGGTTTTCCATTTCATACCAAGTCAGTAGCAAGTCACTTGGTGGGCATGGCTTCTGCAGCTGTAAAGTACAGATGCCCAAAGAAGGTGTGGGCTGATGAGCTTTGCTTCGATTCTCGGGTGGTCTCACCTTAGATCTCGGGTGCCACTTATTGTTAATGGGGTATTTCTGAAACCTGCAACAAGCAGCACTAACTTGCTGTCAGAAGTCCTTGGCTGATGGTCCTATCATCGATCCCATGAAATGCCCGCTTGCAACGCTGTAGGCGCTGCTTTCCGATTCCCATGTATCGGGCCCACGCTACTTTGCACAAGGGGTATCCTGGCGATTAGCAAAACACTGAGTGTCATGACTTAAAGAGTCCACGTGCCATATGGCCATACGCCCCCCCATTATATGTCCTTCAATACTCCACGTTCTTCTAGAAGCCGAAGCAGAAGACTGGAGGGTCCACAAACACGCGTCTTGCGACTGTTTCGGCAGGGACCAGAAGCTTCTGCAAGCTTTGATCAAAACAGAGGCAGGAAGGCGGCACTTGCAATCGCAGGGTGGTGATTTCAAAGCATTGGCAATTCTTTCACTGTCCATTCCATGACTAGCAAACATGGAAGAATCATTCTGCTCGTTCAACGCATGCAACGAGTTCAAAGTAGTAAGAGTCAGATCTACCTGTCGGGATGGTGGTGGAGCTTCCTCATCTTCAATCCTAAGATGAGAAAGTTCAAGACAAACCAGGAATGATTCAATATACTTCCCAGGTTGTATTTGAAGATCAGTTGTTAGCTGAGGGTCTCCGAACTGGAAGATTCACTAGACGAGCAGTTGCCTTCCTCAGAAGACTCCTCATACCGCCAACACTTGCCAGGCCGCAGCTCATCAGCCGCATCATCATAGCGAGAAAGGACCGGCATACTTTTGGGCAGCAAAATGCTCTTTTGTGTTTGGCTTTCAAAGATAGACTTCATTCCAAAGAATTGACGATTGACAACCAATTGAGGTTGTGTAAAATAATATAGGTAGCGATTTTTTCCCCTCGCGGTCCCCACGTGCTCCTGTGAAGTTGGGACACCAACTCCTACGATGACAAATAGGCCTCCACATATTTGGGGTGAACACTCTTTAAGGCCACCGCAAGGGATGCCATCACACACCGAACGCTCATACCATTTCCAGACAATCGACGCAGTTCCTTGGTTGTACGGTTGCACATACTATAATCTGGGTGTTCCAGTCCATTTGTTTCACATCTTACCTCATGTTCCCGCCCAGACACCCGGTCAGAGAAATCGCTGGTGTGCAAAGCATCGATTGGCATGCCGTGCAGGATCATTTCCTCAAGGCCTGAGACAGTGGTGAGTGGAGCCAGGGCTTCAGGGTGCTTTGCCAAGCTGGACCACAGTGACTCTCTTTGCAGCCATGTTTCCTGTGAGGTACCGAGATTGGGGACCCAAGAAATATGATCCATTTGGCCTCAACACATCATAATAAGCGTTGGTTTTTTTTGCAACTTGTTGAACATAGTGTTCATTGGTCAACTAAGAATAGGACGTCAAACATGGCATAGGACCATTCCCAAGCGTGGTGGGCATGCGGTGCAGCATCTGAGATGTGTTCACAACCCCAATCTTCTTCCCATGCTTTGCAGCCAGCAAATCCAGAGCCTCACAAGTACCGAAATGGGGCCTGCAACATAATTGAAATCATTCAGGCCTGCAGCTCTCTTTGTGTTGTCACTTGATCAACGCCAGCCGGAAAAGACTTGGCAAAGCATCCTTTGGCTTGTTTCACCTAATGCAATGAAGAACAACACAGGTGTGGTGCAGCGAGTACATGTTGACTTTCTAAGTGATGACAATGAGATGCTATGGAAGCCTGGATTCCATGTTTCTTTCGCCATTGTTGGTGAATATGTTTCCATTTCTTGCCATAGTCCACAGATGTCCTTACAGACGCATCATTGACACATCCACCACATCCAAGAATCGATACAAGGGCACATTCATATGACACCAGGAGGCTTGACGAATGCGTTGCGCGCTCGCCTTGCAGAGCGCTTTTTCATGGCAGCAAGAACCAGAGGGTGTTTCTTCTCGAGGAGGAGGTCTTTCCTGATCAGCAGGTAGTAGCAATATCGGGGACCATTGAGGGACAGGGGATTGTTATTCATGATTATTCATGCAAAGGCACCAGCACAAGCCAGAATCACATTTCATGGATTCCAAAAGGCCATGCGCAAAGCCAGCAAAATCTGACTTTGCATTCATTACCATCAACTCCTCTCTAGCAAGGATGATGTACAGCCTTTCCCGATTCAACGGCTGTCCATAATCTTTCCTTGGCTAAAGTTGAAAGGATGATGATACTCTGTCCTGGCCAAAGTTTGTTTGTGTTCTCAAAACCCTTTCCAAGGGACGGATCCATCTCAAGGAACACCATCTGATACCTTGATCCCAGCCCATATCAAAATCCTGTCCATGAAAAGAACCGATGTTTAAAGGATGTAGCTGGTAGCTATTCCAAGTTGCTCAGGGAGGTTTGCGGTGACCCACTTGTTGAACTCTCCTTGGACTCGTCGGAATCCGATCACGTTCTCCAAGAGGGCAACCTTGTCATTGCAATCTGTTGTTCTTCAATGCATGGTGCTTCTTCTCACTTTGAAGCCAAGAAGCTGCCGGCTGAGCAGACACAACGTTCTCCAGGACTTTGAACATCTGCTGGGCATCTGCTTCTTCTAGAAGTTGTGAGCCATGATGCAACAATGAGAAAGGCGTACAAGGAAAGCCAGCGCAATACACAGCCACCTCCCAAAAAGCATGTCCAGTTTTTTTTCAGCAGGAGGGGATGGACATGTCAAAAAACTGCAACAAACCCCAGGCACCTTCTTACATAATTTCTTGTACTTCGTGTTGAAGATGTTCCTGTATGACCTGATGTACATGGGCTTGCGATTGTGCATGAGCTTCCTTTGCGGTTTCAAACGTGCCAAATGTGCTTTCCAGTGCAGTCCAGCAGCCCAAAAACAGGATTTGGATGGTTCTTGTCCAAGTACTTCCTGGCAGCCTCATCCCGCTCACTGTTGCACCTGAGCCAGTCCCCACACAACCCTCACCATCCTAATTTTCAAGCTGACTTTGAGGTGTTCACAAATAGTTGCTCCGAGGCACAGGTAAGTCAGCAGATCTCGCTTGCCAGATGGAAAAAGCAATTTCAGGGCAGTGAGTGGGGTATCCATTCCGCTACCTCGGGCTGAAAAATATGGATTGTTCAAATCAGAAATACCGGTACCTGTCAACATTGAAAGCGGTTAAGTGGCAGTCGGACGCATAGCCGAAAGAGCTATGCCACTGCTTGAACCACCAATCCAAGCCTCAGCCATAGTAAGATGGTTGGGAACCAGAGTCCTTATCAACATGTTGGGAACCTTTACAAGTAGAAGAAGCATGCAGCATGACAAGGGGCCAGCTGCAGATCGAAAGTGGTCACCACAGTAGATATAGTCGTACTGCTCCACTGTGAGGGATACTATGTCCTCCTCCCAAAGATCATCATCAAGTACACCCTATATCCTAACCAAAAAAGCTCTACTTTCCGCGGTCCTCCTCCACATCAGATTCGGGAATCCGCCACACAGGCATGGCGGCACACGAGGCGCCCCACACAGAGCCCCAATGCCAACTGATAGCAGGCAAACTTAAGACCCAGATCCCAATTGCAAAAGACCCAGTTGCAATCGCAAGTTCATTAGTATACTTCAATGATGTTGGAGCCAGTTCTTCAACCCCAAAACGGACCGGACCGCGACGGACCGTGTCCGTCAGCACCGAGGACGTCCGACGTGGCGTGCGGGAGGCGCCGTACCTGTTCGGAGGAAAGGGTGCCATCCGGAGGATGTCAGAGGGGGTGCCCCTGTTCTAAAAACCACGAAAACTGGGTTCTAAAAGTCACGAAACACTTTGTAGCTCCTGATTCAGGTGCGTTTTGGAGAGGTGAAGCCTTTTTTGACGTTTGAAGCCACGGTTTTCGCCACCTGAACCCCCTTCAGGACTGAAGATGTTTAAAAAGCAAACCATGAATTGGTACCTGGACCTGAAAAAGGGATGTCCTGAACAAAGAGGTCCGGATTGTAGTGGGCTGGGGCGAGCTTCCAGCCAGGTGACCCCAGAAGGTCCAGGTGTAGGATCTGATCTTCAAACGAATCGGTGCGTTTTTTTTCGCGGACCCGACCGACCCCGACCGGGCACCCGGCGTTTCGACTGGGACATGACCAGGTCATAAAGAACAGGTACTTGATGGTACTTGTATACCGTTTCGAGATACTTTGAGATGAGAAGTGACTGCAATATGGATTTAGGGTGACATGGGAAGCTGGATCAATGGGTGATCCCATCCAGCCGTCCATGCAGGTGTCTCCCAGCGGCACCAAGCCGCGACCTGCACCACGCGGAGTCGAGGTGAAGATCTGTGAAGAGACGAAGGGAATGTTCGTCTCAAAGTGTCATATATGAGAACATTGTTAGTCATGCTTTGTTCATGATGTATATTAAGTTTATGAGATCATTACGTACAAATATATCATATATATTATATATATATATGCTTTTTTTTATAATTTTGTTTTTTGGGGTATTTGTATGTTCATGTGTGTCCATCCATCCTCAGGGCAGGCTCCCACCATCACCATCTCACCACAAGTGGCTCCTCCACGCATATTTGTATTCCCTATATACATTATAGACAGAGAACTAAGGAGCTCCAGCCCCTTGCTAGAATCACAAAATTGATAAACAATTTGTCACCTTGTTGGGTTTTGATTATACAACGATGATTATATAAGGCTTCATGAACAGCAACTCTACAAATCTAATACTCTCCCCCCATCCACTACCCAGACCATCCATGTATGATTTACCGATCAGTTGGGGTCCGGTGGGGCTATAGTGCTTCGCATTAACCCTAAACCCTAAACCATCCATGCTCGACTACGCCCTACGCCGCGTCCGGGCTCAAGACCGACCCCGGAAAAGCACGCGGACGCGGCCGTCCCCACGCGGCCCACGCGGCCATGACGGAAGAGACGCCCTTGCGGCCGGGACGTGCGATCATCTCCGGTGAGGCGCGGTTTGGGACCCGGGCCACGAGGTTCCGACGACCACTGGGGAGACCACTCCCCCTGCGGACGTAAATGCACCAGTGCCAGCTTGCAGAGAAGCGTTTGGAGAAATGCCGCGATCTATAGCGCGATCCCACAATTCCCAGCTTTTCGTGCCGAGACCAATTTTAAGACATCGGTAGTGGTGAAGTTCATTTCATGCGGTGCTTGCTGCTTGCAGTGCCGGTGACATTGTATGATGATGTATATATGATGTGTGTGTGTGCGCGGTTGTTTGGTTGTTCGGTTGTTCCGGGAACGTTCCAGTGTTCATCCAACAGCAATATAACAATTGAAGTTAACCACTGGATGCGGAGTGAGGGAACATGAGGGAACTATCCAATGGATCATCATTCCCTTGGGCTCCAACTACCTCCTACCTAAGGTGGTTAGACCCCCCTGGCACCCACCCCAACCACCTTCGGAACGGAGGTAGTTGGAGCCCAAGGGAATGATTGTGTAATACTAAGAAACAGAGGCCTGTCAGGTCTATGCTCTTTGTCAGCTCTATGCTCTAGTGACTCTAGTGAGAATTGAATCCCTTGATTTTCTGGGCAATGGTTGAAACATGTTGAAACCAAACATGGCCGGTTTTTATTCAGTTTGTTTATGTCTTCCGCGGCAAACACCACACGAGTCGTGAGGTGTTTGTTTGTTTCATTTCTCTCTACATCATGTATGACTGATGGTCAACCACCTCATGGTGTCAAGTCATGACAGTCCCATGGAGTGATCCCTGGGACCAGTCCTTTTCCTGTCTCGTTCTCGATCCCGACCCGTCTGCACCTCTGCGACCGGACCTTTCGGTCCTCTGCCCGGGCACTGGACTCAACGTGAACGGCATGCGGCCTGCCGTGGCGTGGAACGACCAAAGCAGCCAATTCCCGTGGGTTTCCTGATCACTCTTTGTGGTGTTTTGTTCCGTCCCTTTGGTGTATTTCAAGACTGAAAGAAGAGGTCTGATCATCAGTGAGAAATCCGTGGCGGAAGGAACAGGCACTTGGTCAAAAGCTCTGTGGTGTGCACCACATTCCAACTGGCAGGTATACAAGATTGATGGCAAGGAGGTGGTGCTCATGGGCGGGAACTACGTGGTGAAGGCAGGTTTTTCCCACCACCCGTTGGGGGCCGAGTCGGGCTAAGTCGGGCTCATCGCTTCCAAACCAAAGGCTTCATGAAGCTTCCACAGAAGAAGAGGTCGTTGTTTCTTCTTTGGCGGGAACTTGGGGAACAAGATGACAGTGCCTTGACTGTACCGTTTATATATAGATATGTATGATATAAACATATAGTATGACCTTGACCAACTCCTTCAAACATGTGGAAAAACAACATAAACACACCGCAAGCCCTGTCCTGCGTGGTCAAGGATCGTCATTATTTTTCGTGGGCGAGATCCGGAGTACTTCAACCTGCTGGAATCAGGTTTACATGGCCCACCATAGACCGGGCCCCCGTAATTAAGGGCTGTCCATAAATATCCCCTAATGGACGCGCGCCGCCCCGTCGGCAGGCGAAGCCCTACTATCCACCGCTGGAGATTGTGCGGAAGGATGCCAAGCTCATGGCGGAAGGAGTTCTTCACAGCAACATGAACGATCATTCATGAGTTCTTCAGGTGGAAGGTTTAGAGGGATCGTTCTCCCCATTGCCATGTGTGTTTCGCGTGACTTCGAGTTCTTGGTCGGTATAGAGGTGTCTGATGATCCAATTGATCTCCGTAGAAGAAGATGCCGTTTCAAACGGCCTTTCACATGTGGAGAGAGGGATGGATGCTGGCTTTCACAACGTTTCTTCTACTCCAACTGGCAAATGACATGGAGCTGAAATGGAGCTGCTCGAACTGCAGCCGTAACAAAAAGATAACAATAATGAGGAGCTGACATTCCTTCAATCCGGGAGGAAAAGACCCCAGGGCTCCTGTCCCACATCCTCAGAAGCTAGGGACAGACCCCCTTGGCACCCACCCGAACAGCAATGGAGGTAGGTTGTTCGCTCAAGCGGGAGCAATCAGATCAACGAGCCAAAAGCCTCACAATGCATGGGACTGATTTTGAGGATGTCTGAAACGGGTAAACGTAATTAGGTCAATAAGCCCAGTGGCTTTTGGACACCCCGTTCCTCACCTCCAAGAGACTATGAGACTAGACACCTCAGAAGGAAGGTCCTGGTACGTGGATTGTTAGGGAAAAAGGGTCGAACCCAAAAGCAAAAATGGTCAATGGTCGGTCGGTTCAGTGCCGTCGCGGTCAACACAACACTGCGGTGTTTCTCCCGGTTTTTCACCTTCTTTTTCGCAGCTGAAGAAACCTGGGCCCATGTCCACGTGCTTAAGACTTACGTAAGGTGCATTCTTTTCTTTCCTATGGGTAGTATATAACTGGGGAATGTTAATGAATGCATTATGGTCGTTTTTTGTTCCGGGTTTCTTAAGCAAATCCAAGATAAAAGCGTTCCACCTCTGAAGACACTTCTTTTGCAAAAGGAGACAAAGGATCTGTGAGGAAGAACAAAACAGACCATGCAGACCATGACAAGCAACCGACCGGCGCAAGCAACAGTGCGACTTGGAAGGATCTACCATCGGTGTGTGACTCCGTTTCAGGTCTACCACCCACGTTCCCTAGGGCTCCTGGCCCATATCCTCAGGTTCGGACCCAACCACCTTGGAAACGGAGGTAGTTGGACCATATCCTCAGGTTTGTTGGTTAGACTCAGGAGGTAGTTGGATCCCTGCAGGTTCGCACCCCTTTTGGTGCGGCCGACCCGAAGGAGCTCGTACCATGAGCTACACCCCTCCACCCACGGCGGATGGTGTGCCACGACCGGTGGTGCCCTGTGTTCGGCTGAGCGCGATGATGGAGGCAGCTTTACCATCCAAAGGCGTGGTTTGGGAAGGCAATTGAAACGAATATGGATTGATTGGTTAGGAGAGAAATCTTCCTTCAACACCATAGATGCAAGGAGAAGACGACTCAAGTGGGTCCTTTTCAGTACAAGGTCAGTCAGACCAGGTTTGGACCTGGGTCAGGCTGGACCTGTCGGGTAATTTTTCCTTTCACCATCCCATTCCATCCACATCCACCTGTTCCATTCGGTTCCTCCTTTTTCATTGATGGCCACTCCAGCCATTTGATATCGCGAAAACGAGGGTAGGAAAGGGCTCGACTTCCATCTTAAAGATCTGAATCTTCCAAAGTATTCCAAGCTACTACTCCTAGAGCTGATCAATCCCACCAGACCCGCATCGCTAGTAGCTAAGTGCAACGCTACTAGTAACAAGCGCATTTCTACTGGTAGCTTGCTACGAACGTGGCGATGCACTTACTGTACTAGCGATGCACTTGTTACCCCGAACACTCGGAGGAAACAACATCGATGCTTCGTTTGCGACCACGCTGGAAGCCGTGGTGAAAGCGTTCAAAGATGAGGGTGTGCACCTTGGCCTGTTTGAAACGGCCGTGGTGTTTTTCGTCTCTGAACTATGGGTGTTAGTTTGTTGACACGAAAAAGTGCGTGCTTGTGGTTGTTTCCATTGCGAAACAGTTGAACCAGTTCGAACTACTCTGTGGGCATGGACCCTTCCGTGCCCTACTGGTACTCTCTTGTTTCAGGAGTCAGAAAGGGGTGCCTGGAGGAAGGATAGGGGTGTCTACAGGACAACAGAACCAACCCCTTTGTCACTCCTGTCACTGGTTAATGCTTGCGCCAGTTCATCAGGTTCGATGAACCCCTACGAGTAGGATGGTCCCTGCTCTGTGGTCCACAGCCCTGACCCCTGGTCCTTCAAATCGGCGAACTTGAGACGCTGGACTCCTCAATTTGAGGGTCAGCCCCTACTTAGGAGAGGGTCAAGTGGGAACTGTGGCAAGCTGTTGGTCCTATTTTGATCTGGACGATTAGTGGAGAGAAGCGGAGACGGAGAGAAGCGGATCTCACACAACCCCAGTCGAGTGTGTAAGGAGCAGCCACTCGGTCTTAGGCGGAGAGAAGCGGAGACGATTGATGGCAGGATCTCACACAAGCCAGTCGGATGTGTAGGGTTGATTTGACAAGGCTTACGCATGATCGGCTTTTGGGGAGTGCCGCGCATGTTTAACAGACACTGCATTGGCTTGGAGCAGCTTAGGTATGTTTTTCTGGACATGCATCAAGATGCCTTCGGCACAACGAATGGAGGTGACACTTGGCAGATCTTGGCAGTATTGGCACTAACCAGCAGAACACTGGAGCTTCTAAGACCCAGAGAGCCCACCTGGTCGGCAAGCGAACGGCCGTTGAAGAGGTGGACCAGAGGATACA